AATCAAGAAGTGGTCATCATCTAAAAGGTACTTTTTGAAAGCAGCAAAAAAGAGGTGCAGTGTCATTAGTGAAGGATTGGTCCAAAGTGTGATTATCACTTGTTAGAGATTGCCCAGGCGGACACCAGTTAGAAAAAATTGGCAATATCTTGAATAGGTTGGACTCTTAGGTTTGCGAGCGCAAAATATCCGGGTGGATAATCTAAAAAAGGGAAGTGCTCACTGGAGCAAGGGATTTGTCTAACTGACGTTTCGAAGAACTTCGGCGGCTCTCCATTTTTAAAGCGTCTAGCGCTAAAAATCAATCTAAATTTTGAATAAAAAGCCGAATTAGTTGGCCTTGGGCTGATCGTTTTTCCTCTTGCCGCCTTGGCCTACTAGCCGTCCTTTGTAGGGGTCGGTGGTCACCACTGTCGTGTGTCGTCACCTCAGTTGGGGTTAGTTGCGTTTTTGTTCCCCTTCTGGTTTAATTGGCCGACAGGCCTTGTTTGTTCGGTATTCTTGGGCTTCGCAATACCGTCTTGTCCTCGTCAGGACGTATGTAATGACGTAGGACTTTATACGCCACAGGAAGGCCTAGATGTCTGTTGATGGATCTGGCATCTGAGTACCAAGCCTCGTGTGTGAGAAGTTCTGTCCTTGAGGTGCCGCGGCCTAAGGCGGCTACTCCTCGCAAGCTATGCGTTTGGGTCTAGTCTCCGAGTTGCCAATTTGCGCGCGTGTAGGCGGGTCTGCAATTTCCGTCCGGTCTCCCCGACGTAGTTGCAGTTCCCATCGTTATAATGTGTATGACAGACAACTGCTGAGGTTTCAGTGGGTAGCAGTATGTCTATGCGTTTCATCATACTTCGGCGAATGGTTGCCTGGGGTCGATGGACAATACCTACCCTGGCGGGTTGTGGCAGTCGCAAAACTCCTCAGCGACTACTTTAATGTACTGAATAGCCCTCCAGACTTCGGATTTTTCTTCTTGTGGCTGTCGTCTGTTCACTCGGCGTTTGTTTTGATTGATAAAGTAGCTTAGGTATCCATTGTCCCGAAAGAGGTCGTGAAGGTATCGTCGTTCATCTTTTTGTCGGCTGGTGTGCTGCGGAGTGTTTCAATTCCTTGAAATAGAGTACGAACACAGCTGCTTTTGTGATAGAGGAGGGGCGTGAATACAGTGTCGCAACACTGAAGAAAACTTTTTCGCCCGTCTACCTGTCTTACGGGAATGGTGGTAGGAGGGGTTGTACGGGTGGGGCCTCTAAAACGTGCTAAACAGCAAGTAATATAGTGCGCGATAATTAAAAAATTACATTTACGCCAAAATTTGTTTTAATGCATCAAACGAACCTCATATATGACCTTCACGCTGAAAAAGCAGCCTATGGGAAGCCGGGAGGGGACCTAGGACATCATGCGTTAACGCTATTGGCCGGGTTAGAATGGAAGCCGTAGTGGCCAGAGGCCTGACCAATGGGCTGGTGGGAGTGCGTGTGTTTTGCGCGCTGGGCGGGAGGAAATTAATGGCGTAGGGTTTACCATTTTCTCTGAAATAGGCAACAGCAGGGAGGCATCGGGTGCGCGATAGTAGTTATGGCCAATGGATGCCATTGCGCCGTTCACGTACGCATACGACTTCCATGGCGGTAGGTCGAGCAGGGACGAAAAGCGGTTGATTAGGTAAGGCAAGTTCGCTAATTATGGTGCGCCTATGAACAGGTAGGACAGAAATGCAGTATATAGTATGCTGTATGGGGAGGCATATCGAACCCTAGGTTAGGGTTAGCGGAGACTGTGAAATGTGGGCATTTTAAGAAGATGATCACGCTCTGTCCTAACCTGCCTACGCACTGGTTAATGAAGTAACCGACTGATGTAGTAGCATGAATTTTTCGTATTGATTCAATTATATTTCATGGAAAACATGCATAAAAATATGCATTTGTTGCCCATTTGGTACAAAATTACGTCTCCTTCCAATTTTACACTCAAATTCGGTTGGAAAAAGTTCCTAATTATGACATTTTTTAATAACCGTGGAATGCCCATTCATAAAACACCGCGTCTCTGTAGTTGCTGATGTTGCTTGTAAAGTTTACAATGTGGTTCAAATCCACTGCTGAATTCTGTGGACCGCCTATGGTCTCCTCTTAATACCGGAAGGTTTTCCGTACGCGGAAAATATATGGCCCGAGTTTCTGAAGTCTAAGTGTAAGTTTAACTGCAGGTCAGGTTCGAAATTATGCGGGAATTGGAAAACTCTTCGAAAACTGAATTAAAGCCTTCCTTTGAGTTTAAAATTTGGAAGATGATGCAATTTTCTATCCAGGAAATAAAAAATGACTACGTTTATGCACATTTTCCATGAAATATAATTGCATTTTTAACGGTATCGAACACGAATGAGAAAAATTCACGTTACTGAAGTAGTCATTTTCTACAGAGTGTGGGTTTTGCAGGCGGCCAAAAAGAAGTTCCTTCAAAAACCGACATCCCGTGGTAACTGAATCACTATAGATTTACACTGCAAGATCATTAATTTTGCGACCCTGTCTAAGTGATCTTTTCGAAACGAAGAAGCATTTCGGAATTTCGGTTGACATTTCTTGAGTTAGTCCACCTACTTTAGGTAAAGCTGTAATATTAGTTAAAGCGTAGAACAATCCCATGACATATCGGTTACCTCAGGTGAACCGGTATTTGAACATGTGAATGGATTATTCAACAGAGAGCCTCTTAATAATAATGCCATTGGTAGATTACGTACACGAAGTCACTAACAAGGCCACCATAATAAACCGTGCCATTGACAGTAAAACGTTTGCTTAGGTAACACAGTGTGTTCTGTTATGAAAGTAAGTCCCGAGTACGTTAAGGAGTATTTCAAAGCATGCATCGTCATTTATAAATACTGGACGCACCCACAGGTGTGTACGTTATCGGGTACTCATGCAGGCTGGAACCGGTGGGGAAGGGGAGGAGTGAGCGAACAGATAACATGAGTAAAAGACCCGGAAAACGCAAGTAGTCTGCCTTGCAACTAATTGTCTCAGTTATTACTTATATGAGCAGGAAGTCTAAGAAATTGTATGCTGCTTAGACAACTGCATGAGTTCATTAGATTGGTTATACTACTCGCCTTCATCGTACGGACTGGAAGACCCATACTAAATAAGAGAGCGCTACCTCTGCAGGCAAAGAACTAATAAGTGGTCGGCAGTGTCGTAAAAGGAGATAGCACACGAAAAGGACGAAGTTTACTATTACTGTGGTTACTTACGAGTAGTATAGCGGGCCACGAGCTGCGTATTTTTATCTACCCAATGTCATGAGATGTTTTAATTCCGTGAAATGACCGCCCATAAAACATTATACTCCTGTAGTTAGTGATGTTGCTGGTAAAGTTTACGATATAACTCGAATTCCCTGCAAGATTTAATGAACCCCTTATGGTTTCCTCTTAATGTATGATATTCCTCACGCAGAAAATGTATGATGTGTAGGTTCTAAACCTTGAATGCATGCGTAACCGCAGGTAGGGCTCAAAGTTAATCGGGAATTGGAAGATGTTTAGAAAACCGAATTCTACCCTTCCTTTGAGTATGAAATTTAAAGAAGACGTAATTTTCTACTGAATGAGTGAAAGAAAGAATAAGTTCATGCGTGCTTCCCATGACATGGAATTTAATTTGCAAGGTGCTCTAAAGTCTACGAAAAAAATCATACTATATAAATAGTCATTGTTTGCGAAAGGCCGGTGTTGCATGCGGCCGGGAAGATGTTCCTTTGAAAGCCAGCGTCCTGCGGTAAATGAATTATTATATGATTAAGCTACGTGATTATTAGGTTCAAAACCCTACCTAAGTAATCTTTTCGAAACGAAAACACCTTTCAGAAATCCAGTTAACATTTGTAGACTTAGCACACTGACTCATATCGCTGACCGATAGTACTAAGTATGTCACTGCTACCTTTATCTGCCGAACAGCAGATAGCAGAAGTAACGGTTAAGATTGATACAGCTAGTAGTAAAGGAATGAATTAGCTAGTAATACGCCAACACGAATGACGTGTGGAAGTGCTGGGTTACGTCTAGGCTGCTGCCAGTTGTGGAAACGAGGCTTTACGGCCACCATTGAACTGCCTGCGTGGAACAAGCCTACTGCAAGTCCTACCGGATTTAAGGCAATGCCGGTACTGCCGCTTCTGTAAAACGTACTGTGCTAGTCCCCACGCGAAAACGTATGTCTGCTGCGTAAACCCCCGTAAAGGTAAAGTTTGTGTACTTGGCTAACAATCGGAGTAATACGGCAAGACAGTTGTCTGCACATGGAAAGGCAGTCCATCCATCGGCAATTTTCGTATACGCAGGTAGTACCGATAACACTAGCACAAGATGTTACGAGCGCAATCAGTTTAAGATATGACAATGCAGATCCTGCTGTTGTTGGTGCCGTCCTAGCACAAGTACGACGTAGGCTATGGGGACTGCTAAGTCTAGGGCTACCAATAATGCTACCGCGAGTGTGCATTAGGTAGCTTGTGTACCGAAGTTTACGTCGACTAATCATTCTGCAGAACGCCTGATGGCGTTGTGTAATTCCCTTCTACGGCTACGACAACTCTTACTGTCGTCAAAGGTCAACTGTGAATATTGCGAACAGTAAAGCAACAAGTGGAAAAATAACGGATACTGTTGTCGCGAGGGATAATTTTTCAGATTAAAACTTAAACAACTAGTCATTTTCTTCCTGTGAATACCTTTGCCGATCGCAGGGAAACTGCCTGTTCAATGGTAAGAGAATAATGTGACGTTCGAAATCGAAATATTGAACCCAGAACTAAATTTCAAGTCACACATCCGTCCAAACTAAGTATGTCTAGCGCAACGTGTTTAATTTACGTCAGCGACATTTCCGCCTAGGTAGTGAGGTTGCGTCGACAGATGGCATGTCCCTATGAATGCCGTCAGTGAACAGCGTACAGTCCTCGCTATCCACTAAGTGCCTGCAGACATGCGGCGGCCACCCCGACCACCCGTATTCTTTGTTCTCGCGGTCGCAAAGCACTGGCACGAAAAGGCATGGGTAGGTAGGGTGCAAATGCAGACACCCACTCAAGGGTCTTCATGTCCGACCCTGCGTGACCTCGAAGTGTTCGTAATGCTGCGATAACTGTTCCCACAGCCGCACTCGGTGTCGCGTGCCTGCATGCTCCCCTCTCCCACCCCGTCAGACCAGTCAGCATGCTCACGGTTTTAAGCTAAACAAAGCCCTCGAGTTTTCTGACTGGCCTGAACTGGCCGCTAGGCGATGGTGGTGTTGGCCTTGGACGGCGCCTCTTCAAGCGGCTGCCGTCGAGACATGACCACCGGCCCACTATCACATCCGGTAACCTCCACCCCCCCCCCCCAGCCCTACTACCCTAGGCAATCTGAAATGTATTCACGTGCCCTGTGTTTGTTCATTGTCCGAGTCACATGACAGGACGCATGCTTGGATAAGCATACACGAGCTGCAAGAACCACCCCTACGACATGGTGTGATGGCGTTTTAGTCGCATTTAACCACAGCATGAATTCTCCTAACTCCCAACTAAACGCACTTTCCCACCTCGGTAAGCCGGTGACAAGCCCTCCGGGTAAACTGGTAAGCCAGTGTACGGCCTTCCGAGATGTTAACCGGGTAAACGGATAAGAAATCACCTCGGTACCGCTGGTATCACTACCACTACCCCATCGGTAAATGCAAGATCTGCGCAGCGGATACTACCTGAAAGACTGTTACTGTCAATGGATTTGCAACTAACACTACCGCTAGTAGCAGTGCCACTGTTAGTGAAAAGACATACTGCGGATGCTGGCAATGCTTCTACTACTACTACTAATACTACCACTATCATTACTAACACTACTACTAGTATCACAACTGATACTACCACTACTATTAGCAGCACCAATACTACTGCTACTAATACCACTACTAATAATACTACTACTACTACTATTACTACTAATGCTACTACTACAACTGCTACTACTACTGCTATTACTACAATTAAAACTACTAGTATTACTACAACCAACACCACTACTAAAACTACTGCTAATACCAACAAAACTACTATAACTAATGCTAATACTACTACTAATACTACTACTGTTAATACTACTGTTAATAATCCTATTACTAACAATAATACTACTATTAATACTACGAGTACCACTACTACCAAAAATATTACTAAAAGAAAAATTACTACTATTAAAACGAATCAAATAATACTACTACTGCTACTACTATTACTACTACTACTAATACTACTACTGCTACTGCTATTAATACCAATGCAAATACTACCACTACAACTACTATTACTAACACCACTACTACTATGACAACTACTAGTACAATTACTACCACCGCTACAACTACTGTTAGTAAAACAACTACTAAAACTACTGCTAAAACTAATGCTACAAATACAACTACTACTACCACCAGCATTACTAATACAATAACCAACAATATTACTACTAATACTACTACTACCAGCACCACTAATACTGTCAATAATACCATTACTACTATTGCTAATGGTACTAATACTACTACTAGAAATACTAATGATACTAATACAACCGCGGCTACTACTCCCAATATTACTACTATTACTACCACAAGTACTACTACTATCACTACTACTGCTACTACTACTATTCTAATACTACAATTCTACAACTACTACTACTACTACTATTGCCACCACCACGAATATAACTACTACTACCACAACCAGCACCACCACTACTGCTATCACTACAACTAATACTATTACTACTATCAATACTACTGCTGTTAATGCTACGGCTACTACTACCACTATTACTACTATTACCGACATTACTATTAATATTCATAATAAAACAATTACTAATACTATTAATACTACTACAACTACTACTGCTAACATTACTACTGCTACTACTACTACTACTACTAACACCAAAACTATTACTACCACTACCACCAACATTACTACTCCTACTACTACTACTACTACTATTACTACTACTACTACTACTAATATAACTAATAATATTGCTAATATTACTACTATTGCTACTACTAATAAAACTATCGCTGCTACTGCTACTACTACTACTGCAAATAATACCAAAAGTACGTCGATTACTACCAATACCGCTACTACTACTACTACTACTACTAATACTAGTACTTATACTACCATTACTACTACTACCACCAAAATTACTGCTAACACAACCACTAACACCACTACTACTACCACCGCTAAAATTATTCCTATTACTACTACAACCAACTGCATATTACTACCACTAATACTAACACAACTACTACGAATAATGTTACTAACAATATTACTAATACTACTTCCACTAGTACTAAGGCAACAACTACTACTAATAGTACTGCCAATACTACTACTACGAATACTACTAATACTACTACAACTACTACTACTACTACCACTACTACTACTACTACTACTACTACTACTACTACCACTACTAAAACTATTTCCACCGCTGATTTTGTTGCTATTACTACTGCTATTGCTAATAATACAACAACCTCCATTATACTAACACGAATACTAACATTACTACTACAAATAATAATGCTACTACCAATAACACAAATAAAAATACTAATAAAAAATACTACTAATGCTAACACTATTGCTAGTACTACTACTACTACTACTATAATACTACAGCAACTGAGGCTGCCACTACCACTATTACTAATATTACGTCATCAATTACAGCTACTATTAATACCACGACCACTACTACTACTACTCATAATACTACTACAACAACTACTACTTATACATATACCACTGCTACTACTATATCGAAAACCACTGCTGCCACGTCCACTACTACTACAACCAACAACACTAATACTAATAAAACTACTAACAGCACCACTACCACTGCTACTAATAACACTACTACAGCTACTACTACTACTACTACTACTACTGCTAATACTACTACTGGTACTTCTACTACTACTGCTACTACTGCTGCCGCCACCGCCATATTTCTACAAATAACACTACAAATACAATTAATACTACTACTATTACTAAAACTACCACTAATACTACTACTGCTACTACTACTAGTATTACTACTACTACTACTACAACTACTAACAGCAACAATGGTAATACTAATACTACTACGGCTACAACTACTGCTAAAACTACTACAAATAATACTACTACATCTACAGCTACTACTACTACTTCTACTATTACAATTACTATACAAGCATCACTACTACTGCTACTTATAACAATAATAATACTACAACCACTAGTACCACTTCTACTACTACTACCACCGCTACTACTAATACTAGTACTATTACTACTGTTACTGCAACTACTACAAAGTCCTCCATACTGCTGCTGCTGCTACTACTACTACTACTACTACTAGTACTAATACTACTACTACTACAATTAATATGACTATAATACCATGAATACAACTACGACGTCTACTGCTAATACTACAAATACTACTGCCGTTACTACCACTACTACTAATAATATTACTACTAAAACTACTACTTCTACTACTACTGCTACTAATACTACTACTACTACTAAAACAACTACTACTACCACTAACACTGCTACTACTACTGCTGCCACCACCACCACCACCATACTACTACCACTACTACAACAACAAATACTGCTACCACTACTACTAACACGGCTACTGCTACTGCTGTTACCACCACTACTTCTACTTCCACCACCACTGCTACTAATACTACCAATAATAATACTACTACTACTGCTACTAACACAACTACAACTAATAATAGTAATACCTTTACTACTTCTACTCCTAGTAAAATTCTGCTACTACTATTAATATTCCTACTAAAACCACCAATGCTTCTACTAACACCACCAATACTACTAATAATTCAACTATAAATATTAATAAATTACTACCGCTGCTATTACTACTACTACTACTACTACTACTACTACTACTACTACTGCGAATACTACTACCACTACTACTACTACTCCTTCTACCAGTGCTTCTACTGCTAGTAATACTGCTGCCCCATGCTAATAATTCCACTTCGCTTATGACACCACGACTACCACCATTAATAATGGAAATACTAATATTTGTATTACTTCGACTAAGACTATTAATGCTACCACTACTACTATTACTTATACTACTTCTACTAATACTACTACCACTAATAATAATAATATTAATACTGCTGCCACCACCACCGTAATACTACCACTAATACTACTACCACTAATACTACTGCTACTACCAAGGCTAATATTACTATCACTAATACAACTAATAGAACCAACAATACTACTACTACAATTACTACTACAACAACTACTACTACCAGCACCTGTATTTCTGCCTCTAATCTTATTAATACTACTACGTAAACTGCTACTACTACTACCACCGCTAATACTAATTCCAATACTACTACTACTACTTCTACTACTACTACTACTACTACTACTACTACAATTACTACTACTATTCTAACAGCTACTAATACAAATGCGGCTATTTCTACCGCTAATACTGCTATTAATACCGCTATTACTACTATTGCTACTACTTCTTTTGTAATACTAATTCTACTACTAATACTACTACTACTAATACGACTAAAACTACTACTACTACCAGCACCACAACTACTGCTACTACTAACACTATTACTAATACTACCACTAATAATTCTAGTACTACTACAAATACTACTACTACTAATAATAACAATACTACTCATAATACTACAACTACCGCTACTACCACTACTACTCCTAATAATGCTACTACCGCTACTGCTTCTACTACTACTGCTGCTACTACTACTACTAATACTAATACCACCTATAATGCTACTCCTAATTCTACTGCTACGTGTACTACTACTACTAATCATACTACTACTCCGAATACTGCTGCTACTAGTAATACTACTAATACTACTACTAATACTACGTCTAATACTACTACCATTACTGCCACTACTACACCTAATACTACTACTACCGCTACTACTTCTACTACTACTAGTACTACTACTACTACAACTACTCCGAAAACTGCTGCTTCTACTAATACTACTACTACCCCTGATACCACCATTACTACTCCTTATTCTACTACTACCGCCACTGCTTATACTACTACTTATACTACTACTTCTACAAGTACTACTACTACTACTAACTCTAATGCTACTCCTATTTCTACAACAACGTCTACTACTACTACTACTACTGCTACTAATACTACTACTTACAACACTACTAATAATACCATTACTACTACAACTACCACTACTACTACCACTACTAATATTGATACCACTACTACTCGTAATGCTACTACTACCGCTACTACCACTGCTACACCTGTTACTACTACTAAGGCTACTGCTAATACTAATAATATTACAACTACTACTACTACTGCTACTACTACTACTGCTACTACTACTACTACTACTACTACTACCTCTATTGCTACTCATATTTCTACTACGAATACTACGACTACTACTGCTAATACAACTACTACTACTACTACTACCTCTACTACTACTCCTATTTCTTCTAATGCTACTACTACAACTACTACTAATAATACTACCACTGCCACTCCTAATACTAATACTACCTTTACTACCACTACTACACCTAATGTTACTACTAACGCTACTGCTCATACTACTACCGCTACTACTACTAATCCTGATATTACTATTATTACTACCTCTACTGCTACTTTTAATTCTACCACTCCGACTACTACTACTACCACTGCTACTACTACTACTAGCACTACTACTACTACTAATTCTACTACTACTACTCCTGATACCACTTCTACCGCAACTGCTTCTAGTACTACTGCTAGTACTACTACTACTGCTACTACTAATGCTACTAGTACTACCTGTACTGCTACTCCTTATCCTACTACTACGACTACTACTGCTACCACTACTACTAGTTCTATTACTACTACTACTACTACTACTACTACTACTGCTAATTCTACTACTACTACTACTACTACTACTAATACTACTACTACAACTGCTGCTACTAATAGTACCTCTACTGCTACTCCTAATTCTTCTACCTCTACTACTACTACTACTTCTAACACAACCACATCCACTCCTAATATCACTACTACCGCTACTGCTTCTACTAGTACTACTACTACTACTACTACTACTACTACTACTACTACTACTACTGCTACTACTACTTCTACTACTTCTACCATTACTTACACTGCTACGCCTAATACTACGTCTACCGCTACTAATTCTACTGCTACTGCTACAAATACTACTACTCCTAATACTGCTGCTACTGCTACTACTAATACTACTACTACTACTACTACTACTACTACTACTACTACTACTACTACTACTGCATCTACTACTTCTAATACTTCCTATACTGCTACTCCTTATTCTACTACCACGAGTACTACTACTACCACTACAACTAATACTTCTACTACTACTACT